CGCCATTGCACTCCAGCCTGGGTAACAAGAGCGAAACTCCGTCTCAAAAAAAAAAAAAAAAGAAAAAAGCAATAAGAAGAAAATTAGTAACAGCAAACAACACATACCACTTGCTCTGTACAAGGGGCTGTTCTAAGGGCACCACACACGTGGACTCACTTTACATGGTGTTATCATCCTACCATGTATCATCTTAAGGAAGCACAGAGAAAATAACTTGCCCAAGATCACCTAACTAGCTGGTGGTGAAGCCAAAGTTTTCATTTACAAAGTTTATCACACTGTCCTGTGCAGAGCAGGCATTTAATAAAAAGTATTTATAGTGTGTATGTGTAGGGATGGATGAATGCAAGAATTAAGAAACCAACATTTAAAACATTCCTTTCAGTCCTAAACAGCTAATTTTCACCTGCACTGGTAAAGAGCATAACCGATCCACTCATGAATTAGAAACAGGCTGTCTGCCGTTAGAGAAAATTCTGGGCAAGACAACTTGATAAATATCATGACACCTACAGGGCTCAGCCATGGCTCTTGGTTCAGAACCTGGGCTGAGGTCCCTCTGCGTTGCCATATGGGCTTGGAGGGCTCTGAGGCACTGCCAAGGAAGGGCAGAGCGGAACCTGGGACTGGGCGCACTTTGGCAAACATCACTCGCACTGGCCGGAAACTGCCCCTGAGTCTGGGCAGATATAAACGGGCCATTCCTGGCTCCTCCTCCGTAATGCATTTTTATCCATGGCAGCCCTTAGGACTGCGTTTACTGGCCAGGCCCATTCCCCTGCTCCTCCCTCTCCTCTTCCTCCCCTCTCTTCTTCCTCCCCTTCTTCCCTCACCCTCTTCGTTTTCCCTCCTCCTCTTCCTTCTGCCCCTCCTTTCCCCTCCCTCTTCTCCTCTTCTCTCCCCTCCACTCCCTCCTCCCCCACACCCTCTTCCCCTCCTCCTCATCTTTATCAATCCCAACTCATTTCATACAAGGGGAGGTGAAGTGTGTGAAAAACTGGACCTGTAAGTATCTCTCAGGGAAAAATATTGGTAATTTATGTTTTTTTCTGTCTTCTTTAGAAATTGTTTATTTATCAACCAACGGGTACCATGCACAAAGGGAATGGTGAACTGGGTGATGTACACTATTCCGGGGGAAGGTCTCAGCATGTTCTGCCCAGCTAGATGGCAGGGTGTGTGGGCACAGCCAGGGGTGGAGCTACGCAGCCCAGACTGGGGGTCCCAGCCACGTGTGTCCACCCAACACCTGAGACGTGGCCAGGCCACACTGCACCATGAGTTAAAATATATCTCAGAGTGTGAAGACTTCATGAGAGAAGAATTATAAACCATTTCATGAACAATTTTTATATGGATTCTGTGCTTACATGACATTTGGGGTTTCTTAGGTTAAAGACATGACATTAAAATGATTTCACCTGTCTCTTCCTACATGTTCTGTGTCCACTAGAAGACATACACTCCCATGTGGGCATTGTTTCTGTGTGGCTGTGTGACCTGGGGCTCCAGGCCTGGCTTTGCTCTCTGGCTTCCCCTCCATTTGCCTGGCCTCAGGCAGGCCCAGCCCAGCTCTGAGTCTCAGTTTCTGGGAGAATGAAGATGATCCTTGGAGGGTCCTAAGTATGGGGAGGACTGCACAAAGCCATGAGTAGCATGGGGAGATGAGCATTCTGCAGCTGCCTGCCTGCCTGGGAGGGGCCCGAGGCAGGAGGCAGGAAGAAGGAAGATTGCACAGGAAGCACCCGACCCAAGTCCACAGAAGAGAAACCAGCTGAGGACAAGGCAGAGACAGCATGTGGTTGCTGGCATGGAGTCCCTTCCCCAGGAGGTGTCAGACATGCAGCAAACGCCAATCCCAGTGCTCTCCTTCTCTACTCTATCGAATTGTGCAGCAGCTGCTCAGGTGTATCAAGTAACACATGTGATAAGCTTAACCGTGCTCCTCCCAAATCCACATGCTGATGTCCCCGCCCTCACTGCCTCACCACGTGACTCTGCACTTGAAGATGGTGCTTTTGAAGAGGTCATGACATGAAGATGAGGTCCCGCTGGAGTAGGGTGGCCCTGATCCAGCATGAGGGTGTCCTTCTAAGTAGAGATGAGGACACAGACACACACAGAGGGATGGCCACTGGGGGACGTAGAGAGGGGATGCTGCCGACAAGCCAAGGAGAGGCCGCGGAGGGAACCAGCCCTTGGCACCTTGATGTGGGATTTCCAGTCTTTGGGACTGTGGTGGAAGCCACGTCTGCGGTGGAAGCTACCCAGTCTGTGCTGTTTGTTGTGGCAGCCCCAAGAACTGGTGCAACACACAATGCAGACAACATCTGCAAAGTCCCTGGCTCACAGAGGCACTCATATAGTATTAGCGCTGGCCTTGATAGATGTGGGGTGTGTGTGTGTGTGTGTGTGTGTGTGTGTGTGTGTGTGTGTTTTGCTTCTGTTTTTTTGATACAGGGTTTCACTTTGTTGCCCAAGTTGCAGTGCAGTGGTGTGATCATGACTCACTGTAGCCTCGACTCCTCCAGGCTCAGGTGATCCTCCCACCTCAGCCTCCTGAGTAAGCTGAGGCTGTAGGCACACACCACCATGCCTGGCTAATTTTTTAATTTTTTTGTAGAGATACGGTCTCTCTTTGTTGTCCAGGCTGGTCTCGAACTCCTGGGCTTAAGCGACCCACCTGCTTCAGCCTCCCACAGTTCTGGGATTCCAGGCGTGGGCCACCGCACCCGGCCTTGTTTGGTGTTTTTAACACATAGTGAATCATCCCCAGGAAGCTTAGCTATCACCAGAAAACCTCAAAGACCAAGCCCACAGGTCATCAGGTCCACAGCATCCAGAGAAAGCTGAGGGGGGAAAGCCGCAAGCAGCCTGGCTAAGGACGCAGGCAGTGTTCAGAGCACTTGTTGATCCTCCAAAGGCAATCACCCAACCCCCTTGATTCACACTGCCAAAAGGTGTAAGTTCCTCCGGTGGCTAGTGAAGCCAAATGTCTTCTATCCTAAGGACGGGCAGACTGCCTGAGATAGGGTGTCTCTGTGGGCGGGTCTCGCCCCTGTCCCCTCCTGGTGCTGAGGCACATCCCTGGGTTCTCCAGGGCAGCTGGCACCCTTTCCTTCTTGGGTTCTGCCAAGTTCTGTAGCAAGACAGAGAACCAAATACAAAATGGGCAGATTGATTAAAAGCTGGTAAAATAGTGAGGCAGGGCCATTCGGAAACCAAATTTCCCTGCAACTTTAAAAGACATGGGGAGTGAAAAGCAGAACAGGGATTTCTTCATTTCTGAGAAGGAGAGCCCTGCACCAAACCTGTGCCTGCCTGGAGGAAGTTATGCTCCATCCACAAGAGTGAGTCGCGCATCAGGAGTACAGCCTCCTTGCCCCTCTGATGCATGTTTCTCCCTGTTCTCACTGTTCTGACCCTCACCTGGCCCAGGAAGCTGCCTCAACCACTGGTCACCTGGGAACTGTGCCCCACATGACTGGACTAACACTGCAACTCAGAGAAATTCCACAGTTACCCCTTTAGTTAGTCCCTCTTCCTCTTATATCCTGATGTGGCTTATTCAGGATGAGAGAGCAGCAGATTTCAAGGCCCTGAGTCACTGAGGGCAAAACTTGCAAAGGACATTGGAAGCTGCTGCAGGCAAGAGACCAGGCCTCGCCACCACCTCCCCAGCAGCCAGCAGCACCCATAGCCTGCTCAGGAAACAGCTTTTATGTGAAAAGGAAGTTAGGAAATAGGTATGATTCATTTACTCTTTGAAACATCTGTGCTGGGGCTGCTCCAGGCTGAGATGGAGGCAAAAGAGAGAGGAAAGTTCCCTCCTGGATGTTGGAGGGGAATTAGCCGTATGATAAGCAAATCACTAAGACCTGTATCAGAGGACTGGGCCGCAGGCTGTAGGCAGAGGAAAGAGGCATTGAGTGTGGGTGGGGACGGGGTAGAAGATGGCAGTAGGCCAGGAGGGAGGGGGCCCTGAGCAGCCTGGGTCAGACAGAGGGGCGGCTCTGCAGAGGACATGTGTAGGGTGGACGGGGCAGCCCCCACTGCAACTGCCTTCCCTGCTGGCAGATCAGTCACCAGCCCCTGAAACTGACAGAAGTTTTCCTTGACTTTCTCCTAAGGGGAAAAATAAATGCCCCCAGAATCACACACAGAAATGTACAGAGTGGCAGGTGGCACTTTTTCTTTAGTGGTTTAAGTTTAAATGCTCCACTAAGTCATGCAGCATCGCAGAGCACGTACTTGGAAAGGCACAAAAATGTTTCCCATCAAGTTTAAAGAAAATAAAAGCTCTTCTTAAACTACCTACAGGAACCATAGTTTTAAAATTTCCCATTTTTGAGGTTTTTAAATAATCGGAACTTTAACCATGAGATTTCAGAAAACAAAATCCTAAGTGTGGGCTTTGGTAGGGCTCAAGAATCTGACTGTGACAACATTAAACGAATGGAAAATACATGTGGGTGTTTTACAGCATCAAACACCAGGAACGAAACTGAAAGCCACACAGAGTTTTATAGAAACTCGAGTTGCAAATCAGGTATTCTAAGACTTAAAATACCATCAGTGTTAGCAGCCTGGAGACCTCTGAGCAGAGCTGTTTTTTCCACTTTCATTTTTAGCTGAAACAGTCCTCCTGGTGTGGATACTGTATCCAAGCCACGCTCTTAATAGATTAGTAACTTAATACATTTATGTTAAATGGTAGTGTTAATTATAAAATGACATTACCAGTATTATAGTTTAAGTATGGGCCGAATAAAATGAGTGACCCCCCTTCAACATTGACTAGAACCATTTACATATTTATAAAATTGGTCTTTCTAAATCATTAGGAAGAAACGACTGCTTATCACTTTGAGATAAAATGTAAACAGGAACAGTATGTAGTCACCTGTTCACCTTTCACAGACGATTTGAAAGCAAATCATGGAAAATTACCCATGTGGCTGATACAGAGACTGAGTCCAAGTACAAATCAGAGAAGGTCCCGTTTCTTCCAAGTTTATTATTATTATTAAATAAAAACGCACTACGGACCACGGTAAGAGGTTGGAAGACTGACATTCAATTCAGTTCAATTCCATGGACATTTCTAAAGCATTCTGGGTGTAAGACGGGGTTTACGCCGACCCTAACGCTAGCCCATCTTCAGCAGCCAGACATTCTAATACACCACCATCTCCCTCAGGTTGGAGCATGCATAATTTTATGTTGAATTAAAGTAACAAGGAAATGAAATAATTTCCCTCGAGGGAAAATTATACATGTTTAAAATATAAAAAATTTTGAAAAATGAAAAGTATTTTTGCATCAGAGCAAAGGAATTGTATCATCTCTTTCCTCTCCAAGAACTTCCTGATACCTTTAGGACCAACCACACAGCACGGACCAAGAGCCCCCCATACAAATTAGGGTGGGTTTACTTTTGTGTGCAACGGCAGGCTTATTCCTTATCATCAGAATAAGCCTGGTCTAGAGAGAAGGGTGGGCAGAAAGACAGACGGCGAGGAGCCTCAGCATCTGTGTCCTTGTCAACATCCTTGGATCATCTGTCCTGAGCATCTCAGTGGGAAAAGGGTCCAGAACCCTGACTCAGGACACTACAGAGGAATCGATGGCAATGCAGAGAATCCAAATCAGTCAAAAGAAGCCAGTGCCTTCAAATAAGGCGGACAATGGTGAATGCCATGCTAGAAATACAAAGAGATGAATTCTAAGTAGCCAGAAGGATTTGAATGATTTTTAATTTGCAGTTTCCTGTTTGATGAACTGTATTTTCCAAATGTTTTATGGTAAGGGTTAGCAATGGGCTGTGCAGGAGCTGCCACTGGAAGGGCCAGTCACAGTGAGAGTGAAGAAGGGCTGGAGCCAGAGGCTGAGAACCTTGGAATGTAGTCTGCGCTAAGGACTTCCTGGAAGTTCTGGGAGCAGGAGGGTGACGATCCAACCGATAGAGGGAAATCCTGGCAGCCAAAATACAAGACACACGGGAACGGGAGGAACCTGGAACTTTGGCTTTCAGGCCTGGAGAGCTTTGGAAAATGCCCACGCCTGCATCAGGATCTAAGGTGGGCAGACTCTAGCAGATCTGAAAACTCTCTGGGAGATTCCAATGTGCAGTCAGGCCAGAGCATGACCCCAGAGGAAGGACAGCCGGTAAGGAGCCAAGCAGCCGCACTCAGGAGAAAGCAAGTTACGGATTTAGGAGAGGTCCAAGGGAACAGCCTGAGTATCTCCTATCCTTTGTCCAGACCTCTGGGATTCAGAGTGAGTTCTTCCAGAACCAGACCAGAGGGAAAAGTCAGAGGCACACTCCATGGTGAAGAGGAGTCAGAGGCACACTCCATGAGAAGAAAGGAGTGGGACCTTAGTAGATGAAGTTAGGTTTTTGAGCTAAAAGAAAATCTGATGTGTTTCACCGTTCATGAACTGGTATAAATGTCTATGCTCTTTCAAACCAGCAGCTAATTAGATAGAATGCAGTTTGGAAATATCTTTATCTAAAAAAGAAAAATGTTGAAAAATCAAAAGTATTTTTGCATGAGAACAAAGGGATTTTTACGGTCTCTTTCCTCTCTGAGAACCTCCTAAGCCTTCTAGAACCAATCACACAGCATGGACCCCAGAGCACAACCTGCTTCGTCTGCCTTTCCTCCTTGTTTCCCTCTTTCTCCTTATCTGTCTTTTGTCCTCCCTTTCTTTCTCCTTCCTAACTCCTTCCCTTTCTGCATTCCTTTACTTCTTTGCAAGGTCAGGACCTACCTATTGCCAGCAATCTTCCTCAATAAATTAGTAACAATGAATCCTATTAACAAGGACCAGGCTTCCACCCAGCTGTCAGGGAAGAGGGCAGCAGCAAGAGCCCATGCCCTTAGCCTCTGACTCACCAAGGAAATTTGTGTTTAATAACAAAACGACTTGCGAATTTTTAGGATCAGCTCATGTCTTAGCGTATTGGTCTTCTCGGTGTTTAATTCTTGTTTGCCTGCGTGATTTCCCATCCTGAATAGATCAGCTCTTCAGAGGCTAAAAGAGAAAGAGAAAGCGTTAGCCTTAAGTCTAGTATTCTTAGTTTTCTATGTCGTTTTCAATCAGAAAGACAATCCTGTGAGATATATGATGCCCACTTTTGAGAAGAGGACACCAAAGCTCTGAGAACTGGAGAGACACGCCCAAGTCATCTTATTAACAAATTCTATCTTTTGATCCCATGCTCAAAAACAGAACCGCGCCAACGTCCAGATCCTGTTCAGTAACACACTTCAACCTGTCTCAAGAAATCTTGCAGATTTGTGTACATGTAGAGAAATAATCTATCCGTCCGTACATACATATGTACACACAGAGAGAATTACATCCCACACTCGGGTGTACTGTAATGAGCTGAGATGTCAGAAAAGTGCTGACACTCTTCTACAACTAAAAGGTTATAAGAAGATATTCATGCTCGCTGCTTTTAAAAAAAACCATGTGAGCACAGAAAGAGCCAACATCAGACCAAGGACTGCTTAACAGGCAAGTGTCCAAAGAATCTGCAGAACTTGTAGGGAAGGTTAGATGGAAAAAGCATGCCACTCCTTATTTTTAGTTTCTAATGCCAACCTTAGCAGCACATTTGTGATTTTTCCCCCAGACATGCAAGGAAGGGAAGCCCTGAGCCACACTCATTCCAAGCTAATTGCTTCTCCCAGCCTGCCTGCGGGGCCTGCCCTGGACTGGGGGCCGACCAGCTGACGGCCACTGGAAGAATCAGCCCCAACCTGGGTGCAGGTGACCAGAGTGTTTAAGGACAGTGACATGTTTTCCTTGATGGATGTATCCTTGTGAGAACCCAAGAACAGCTTTCCTTGTGAGGGAACCAGATGAACCATCTCCTGAACATGGGGAGGAGGACTCCGCAAAATACTAGAGATGCCCAAGCACAGGGTGAATTGTGTCCCTCAAAAGTCGCTCTTTAGAAAAGAGAACTGCCTGACAGCCAAGCTTTTCCGTCTCCCACATTACCGGGTCCCTTTTTGGTGGCTCAGGAAGGACTAGCTGAGGACACTTTTCCGCAGGCAGGCACCCCCATCACGCCCACAGCCGCTGGAAGGGCTGCTGAGAAGAGAAGCCAACATGGACAGCACAGTGGCCACTCCCAGGCCCCACCCCACTCACATGTGTGGGGGTGAGTCACAGCCGGCCACCGCAGAGTGAAGACCACCCACCTTCATCACGTGTAATGCAAATGGGGACCTGCCATAAGACTTCCTGTGAGGGCCTCATGCAGGGAGGTCGAAAACATGCTGGACTTCAAGAAACTCAGGCCAAAGTGCCCATGGATGATGCTCTGGAAAACCACAGACGCGGTTCTAGTGATGATATGAACACAGCCGGCTGCATGAACCCCATGCTTCGTGGCGTGAGAGTGAAAAAAGCCATCAGAGTTTGATGTGTGTGATTTGAAAAATGCAAGGCTACCTTTGCAGATGACTTCAGCGTCCGTGCGATTCTATCTTCTCGGTTTATTTAAATTGGACAACCAAAAAAACCTTGCAGAGGCAATCTTCTCATTGGGAACTGAAGCTTTGTTGCACAAGTGGGGCCTTCCTGGGTAAAAATGGGTTAACAAAGGGAAAGACCAAATTCACTGTGTCCTTCTGGGGTCTAAGCATGAATGAGTGGGTTCCTTGTGAGGTGCTGCTTTGAACCCTGGGTACACGGGGACTGGCCATTCTGAAGTCTCACGGCTCTCTAATTCCATGTGGTGGTGTTGGAACTAAATAGCTTGCAGGATAGACATATTTTATAGAATAAAACATATCAAATATCTGTCAATCCATCTTTCTGTTTAAGAAATGAGAAGTGGTCTATTCAAAGCTAAACACAGGTAAAAACAGGTAACCTCCTTTAGTGAAGGTGGACAACTTCGACCTCAGGCATTTTGCCTGTCCAGACACAAAGAACCTCCTCTCACTAGCTGTGCTCTCCAAGTGCCTATTCCAGGCCCAGGCATCACCTCACCTCTGCCTCCTGGGAGCCCTCCCCTGCCCAGGCCCCTTCCTGCTTCCTGGCTCCATCCATTTCTCACCCTCCTCCTCCTTCCTCCTCATGCAGGGACTAGGCAAACCCAAATGCAACACTCACTCCTTCCAGAAAACAAAGCTCCAAGGATTTGTCCCAAATCAGAATAGTGTGGGACATGTAAATATTTGGGGACATGCTGATAGACACAGAGAGCTATTTTTGGACAAAGGGCTCTTGAACACACCTGAAATCTACCCACAAGGTGCTGAACTGGTCCTTGGAGAGGGGCCATGTTTCTTCTGAGTCAGTCTGTTGCAATCAAACTTTGTCATACTTCATAGCACACTTCTAGGTTATGCTTGGGATGACTGATCTTAACCACGATTTAGAAAACTCAAGAATACTGGAAACAGAATTGGTGAAAATAACTCAAGTCCAGACTTTTGAATACATCTAGTTGGATCTGACTCGTTGGTTAGACAAGCCTACTTACTTGCATTTGACTGGTCTCTCAGATTAATATAAAGAAAATGTATTTATACATATTGAGAATTGGTTAATTCTAGCCTTAAATGCAAAATTCATATACTAGCAGGAAAAGAAAGACAAGAGGAGCAAAAAGCATTGAGTTGTAGGTTTTAAATGAGTAAATGTTATGGCATATGACTTATAACTCAGAAAGTTGTTTTTTAAAAAAATAACTTCAATAAGGGGCAGGTTGAAGTCACATACCTCCAGAAATAATTCCCGAAGAAAGATGTAATATCACTTTTGTAGTATTCTGTCTGGGAATGAATAACTAGAATCTAACGTGAGGAAACAGAAAAGAAATCGCAAACTTTTCTGAAACATAAATGGTCTGTATTCTTCAAAATCACCAGTATCCTGAAGGACAAACAACAGTTGGGGAAATTTGCCGGATTAGGGACATGCCATATGTGATCCTGGACTAGATCTTGGAGAGAAAAATGTCTTAAAGGATATATTTGGGACGATTAGCAAAATTAGAATGTGGATTATAGACAAGATTAAAGTATTGCTGGGCTAGGTGGCTCATACCAGGCCGAGGCAAATGGATCACGAGGTCAAGAGATTGAAATCACCCTGGCCAATGTACTGACACTCTGTCTCTATTAAAAATACAAAAACTGGCTGGGCACAGTGGCTTACGTCTATAATCCTAGCACTTTGGAAGGCCGAGGTGGGTGGATCATGAGGTCAAGAGATCGAGACCATCCTGGTCAACATGGCGAAACCCCGTCTCTACTAAAAATACAAAAATTAGCTGGGCATGGTGGCACATGCCTGTAGTCCCAGCTACTCAGGAGGCTGAGGCAGAAGAACTGCTTGAACCCAGGAGGCAGAGGTTGCGGTGAGCCGAGATCCTACCATTGCACTCCAGGCTGGGTGATAAGAGTGCAACTCTGTCTCAAAAAAATAAAAAATACAAAAACTAGTCAGGTGTGGTAGTACACACCTGTAGTCCCAGCTACCCAGGAGGCTGAGGCAGGAGAATCGCTTGAATCCAGGAGGTGGAGGTTGCAGTGAGCTGAGATTGTGCCAATGCTCTCCAGCCTGGGCAACAGAGTGAGACGCTGTCTCAGAAAAAAAAAGTATTGTGTTAATATTAAATTTCCTGAACTTCATAACTGTACTATGGTTAGGTAAGAAAATACCTTTGTGGTTTTTTTTTTTCCTTCTTTTAAGACAGGGTTTCACTCTGTTACCCAGGCTGGAGTTCAGTGGCTTGATCCTGGCTCAGTGCTCACTGGAGATCATTCAACCTCCTGGGAACAAGTGATCCTCCCATCTCAGCCTCCCAGGTAGCTAGGGAAGGCAGGTGTGCACCACCATGCCTGGCTAATTTTTATTTTTTATTTTTTTTGTAGAGATGGGGTCTGCTATGTTGCCCAGGCTGTCTTGAACTCCAAGCCCCAAGTGATCCTCCTGCCTCAGCCTCCAAAATGTTGGGATTGTAGGAGTAAGACACTGTGCCTCACCAATATCTTTGTTATAAGGAAGAAACTCTAAAGTGAGAGGCATGATGTGTGCAAATTACTCTACCACAGAGAGAGTAAAAATCAACACAAAAGGAATATATATATGTTTACATCAAATTATTATACATTAATATACAGCTACATAAAATGTGTATATATGTGCATAAAACAATATAAAACATGTAACTGAATATAATATACATACACATATATATGTATGTATACAGAGAGAGAGAATTATGACAAATAGACAAACTTAAAAAAAACTCTGCATAAAAGAGACGCAAAAAATTCTCTAAATTATTCTTGTAACTTTCCCACATGTTGAAGTCATTTCAAAATAGAAAGGTTTTATAATATAAGTCTATGGGGGCCAGGTGTGGTGGCTCACATCTGTATTCCCTGCACTTAGTAAGGCTGAGGTGGGAGGATTGCTTGAGTCCAGGAGTTTGAGACCAGCCTGGGAAATACAGTAAGAACCTGTCTCTTGTAAAACTTTGAAAATTAACTAGGTGTGGTGGTGTACATCTGTGCAGCTACTCCAGAGGCTGAGGCAGGAGAATCGCCTGAGCCCAGGGGTGAGCTGTAGTGAGCTACGATCACACCACTGCAGTCCAGTCTAAGTGACAGGGCAAAGCCTTAAAAAGTCTGAGTCTGGCCGGGCATAGTGATTTGTGCCTGTAATCTCAGCACTTTGGGAGGCCAAGGCGGGCAGATCACTTGAGGTCAGGAGTTTGAGACCATTCTGGCTAACACAGTGAAACCCTGTCTCTACTAAAAATACAAAAAATTAGCCAGGCATAGTGGCATGCCCCTGTAGTTCCAGCTACTTGGGAGGCTGAGGCAGGAGAATCACTTGAACCCAGTAGGCGGAGGTTGCAGTGAGCCGAGATTGTGCCACTGCACTCCAGTCTGGGCAACAAAGCAAGACTCCATCTCAAAAAAAAAAAAAAGTCTGAGTCCAACTTTGAAGAGTTTACCCTTTTATTTAAAAATAAATAAATAAAAACTTGTACAACAAATTGACAAGAGATTACTAGGTATTATTATTATTATTATTATTATTTTGAGATGGAGTCTCACTCTGTCATCTAGGCTAGAGTGCAGTAGCACGATCTGGGCTCAATGAAACCTCCACCACCAGGCTCAAGCGATTATCCTGCCTGAGCCCCCTGAGTAGCTGGGATTATAGGTATGAGCCACCATGCCCAGCCTAATAGGTACAAATTCTGTCTTTGTGATCTCATGTGACACAGTGGAAGACACAGGTACCTAAAGATTAAAGAGGGTTCTTCACATTGCATGGGCCAAGTTCCTCAACTCACCTTGTTTACCTTAAAAAGGACAGTTTTCTGGGCTGTACAGAGAAAAGCAGAGGTCACTCTTCTCCAAATGGAGCCTCCATCACCTGATTTACGTTGTTAATCAAACTCCCCTTTCTAAACCCATTATCTGGTAGATAAGGCTATTCTGGTTTGGCTTTTTTTGAACTATGGTGTAGGACCTTAGATTTATTCACTGACCCTCACATAACAGTAGCCCCTTCTCTACAGAACTAGGTTTTTACTTGTTATTTTAAAGAAATAAACTACCTATTATTTAGGAATAGAAACTAAGATGGAAAACTAAAGAAAAGCAAGAAATTATCAACACAGGATAATGATTACCTGAAAGTTGGGGAAGGGAAAATGAGGGAAATGTGGCTGGAGGAAGAACAGTAAAGGTACTAGCAATGTTTTATTTATTAACGTGAGTGTGTATAGGGGTGTACGTATGTGTGTATATGTTTGAGACAGGGTCTTACTCTGTTGCCCAGGCCAGAGTGCAGTGGTACGATCTTGGCTCACTGAAACCACCACCTCTGGGGTCCAAGTGATTCTCATGCCTCAGCCTCCCAAGCAGCTGGAATTATGGGTGCCTGCCAAGACACCCGGGTAATTTTTGTATCTTTAGTAGAGACAGGGTTTCACCATGTTGGTCAAGCTGGTCTCGAACTCCTGATCTCAAGTGATCCAGCCACCTCAGCCTCCCAAAGTACTGGGATTATAGGCATGAGCCACCACACCCAGCCCTGAATATCTGTCTTAGGTACTGTTGCCTTCCTGGGTGAAGGACATCAATGACCATTTATTTCCTCCGAAGCAGTCGGTTAGTCATGAACTTTCTAATGTGGATAGTTCCTGGGTCATTCATGATGGTGGTCAATCCTGAGACGACCAGGGAAGGAAAAAGGGCAGACTACTTTAAAACAATTTTTTCCTCGAGGAATTTCAATGATCCTCTACCATCCATTTTTAGGTACTCAAGTAGTTCTGTATGGTTAGAGGAAGGGTGAATGTGACAGAGGGCACGAGGCGAATGTCTAGAGGCAGACAGCGCCAGGTCATGAAGAGCCTTGTGTGCTGAAACCATGCTGTGTTGCAGGGAGGTCTCTACTTAAGCCTGGACAAAGACCAGGTACGTGCTGCCAGCAACTCCACCCCCAGCCTTGCTTCATCAGTGCATCTGGGGTAGATCAGGACACACTGTGGAACTCCAGTACCACGTAATGTGGAAGCTTACAGGAAATGCCTTAGCTTCTTAAATCAGGTCAGCTTTTTTTTTTTTTTTTTTTTGAGACGGAGTTTTGCTCTTGTTACCCAGGCTGGAGTGCAATGGCGCCATCTCGGCTCACTTCAACTTCCACCTCCTGGGTACAAGCAATTCTCCTGCCTCAGCCTCCCAAGTAGCTGGCACTACAGGCGTGTGCCACCATGCCCAGCTAATTTTTGTATTTTTAGTAGAGAGGGGGGTTCACCATGTTGCCCAGGATGGTCTCGACCTCTTGCCCTTCTGATCCACCTGCCTCAGCCTCCCAAAGTGCTGGGATTATAGATGTGAGCCACTGAACCCAGCCAGCATTTTTTTTTTTTTTTTTTTTTTTTTGAGAAACAGCTCTTGCCTTGCCACTGGGCTTTGACAGAAGTTGAACATCTAGCCATTAGGCACCAGGTAAGCTGAGCTGCCTTCCATGGACCAGGTGTCAGCTGATCCAATCACTGCCCTGCTGCTGCTCACTGGTACTACATCATCCAAAGGAACAGGTATGTGTAACAAGGAACAGGCCCCAGAAGACAACTGCTTCAAGAACAGATGGATCAAAGGCTCAGTACGGTAGCTCACGCCTGTAATCCTACCACTTCGGGAGGCCAAGGCAGATGGATCACCTGGGGTCAGGAAGTTGAGATCAGCCTGGCCAACGTGATGATATCCTGTCTCTCCTAAAAATACAAAAATTAGCTAGGCGTGCTTGAGCGTGCCTGTAATCCCGGCTACTTGGGAAGCTGTGGCAGGAAAATTGCTTGAACTTGGCAGAGGTTGCAGTGAGCCAAGATCGCACCACTGCAGTCCAGCCTGGGCGACACAGGAAAACTGTCTTAAAAAAAAAAAAAAAGTATGACAATCTCTGCATCCAAGAGTTTAAAGCAGATGAAAGGCAAGACAAAAAGAAACATCCATGCAGTCAGTAGACAACAGGCAGGCCATGAAGAAGTGCCCGCCTGTGGTTCTGCCCCTATGTACGGACTGGAGTTCCGTACAGGTCAGGAAGGGAAGACCGGCTTTAGAGTAAGACAAATCTCGGTCCCAGGCTCAGGTGAGCGCCACACACCAGCTGTGTGACCTTGTTCAAGTCACACGACCCAGGTCTGTGGAGTCTCCCACAAAATGGCTCTAGTGAGGTCCAAAAACCCACTCAGCTGTTGGTGGAGGGAAGAAATGAAGTCACTGCTTAAAGGGCTTAACACCGGTGCCTCCGGTTCTGCCCTCTCCCCAAAAACCCACTCAGCTGTTGGTGGAGGGAAGAAATGAAGTCACTGGTTAAAGGGCTTAACACCCGTGCCTCCGGTTCTGCCCTTCCCCAACTCTCCCGACGGAGCAGGAGAGCTCCGTCGGGGCTGAAGCGAGCTGCCAGGGGTGAGGACAGGAAGCCGCCTCCTCGCCGCCCCCCAGCCCCGCCCACGGCCCGGGCACTCCTCGGCCTCGGGCTCCCGGACCGTCGCCATACAAGTTGGGGTGCAGGCGAAAGAGTGGAGAGGGCTCGCTAAAAGTAAACAGAGGCCGCCGAAGAGTTCCCATTCTGCGAGGCTGCCGGATTTCCGTGAGACACTGAAGCCACCCCACCCAGGCGCCTGCCCTTAGTTTCCCCAGCTGTGGCATGGAGGTGCACCGGCTCCACCTCTCCAGGGTCGCTGCCAGACCTGAACGTGTGAGAAGACCGAGAAGGAGGCCCCGGCTCAACGGCCTCCAACCTCTTCCAGTCCTCCTCCCACCGTGGCTTGGGCCTTTTGTACCCGCCCCACGTGACCCCGCCGGCCGGCTCTTCCCTGCTGCCCCGCCCCGCCCAGCTCTTCCCGCTCTCGGCCTCCCCCCTCCCGCGCTGCCGGGTCTCCACCTCCCCTTGCCTCCCGCCCCAGGCTCTTCCCGCTCCCTCCCACAAGCAGCCGTTCCCTCGCGACGCTCCCCTCCCCACGCGGCTGTTCCGCCGCCTCGCCTCCCCTCCCCCCGTCCAGAACTCACTGTCTCCAAGATGGCGGCCGTGTCAGTTTGGGACATTTCAGCGGTCCGGCCTGGGGTCTCTCCTTTCTCCCGGTAAGTAGCCGACGGGCCGCCCCTGGCCGCCCAGCCCGAAGCCGAGCCGCTCCAGGGCCCGGCCCGCTGCCTCGCGGGGTCGGGAGGCCGCTGCAGGCCCCGCCGCGGCCTGCGCCGCCTCCTGCTGCTCTGCTCTGTGCCAGGCGTTGGGCTGGGGCGCCGTGGCCGCCCCCTCGCGCCAGCCCGCCGGGCGCCCGGCTGCCCCTGCCCGCTACCTGCGAGCCGCCTCCTGGCCCCGCGCTCCGACCCCGCCGGCGGGGCCCGCCCTGGGGGAGCCGGCGGTTGGGCGGGCGGCGAGCGGCCCAGGCCGCGGAGCCTCGGGCTGGCGGAGCCGGCGAGCCCGCTCTCCCTCGGGGCGCGCCCATCCCGTTTCCTCGCGCCGCGTCGGCCGGGTCAGGCGGCTTCCTCCGCGCTCGCGGGCGCTCTGTCATGGGCTCGGGTTCCGGCTCCGGCTTGGCCTCCGGCCGGCGGTGTAAGGATCGGAGCCGGGCTGAGGCGGCTAGCGGGGCTGACAGGCCGGCAGGTGTTGTGGTGCGAGGCGCAGCACGTGTGATGTTGTGTCTGCCCGGCTGTCAGCCCCGCCGCCGGGGGAAGGCCGGGCGCCTGTCGACCTCGCTTTCTGGCCCGGTGCGCGATTGTCAGGCTCCCGGCACCACGCGCCGCCCTCGAGCCGGCCCCCGGAGCTTTGAGTGCGGAGCTGGGCTGGGACGACATACCGCTCTGAACTCCTTCAGGTGATTTCATTGTTAACTTGTTCTCGGGGTCTGTTCCCATCCCGTGGCGAACTCCCGGGCTGTGCCGATCCGAGTTTTTAAAGTTTCTGGCTCTTTGAAAAGAGCGTGTTTGGGGGTGGGGAATAGGGGCGGGAAGGATGATAAAATGAGTTAGGGAGAGTCCCTCTTTTTCTACTGTTTGGAATAGTTTCAGAAGGAATGGTACCAGCTCCTCTTCCTACATCTGGAAGAATTTGGCTGTGAATTCGTCTGGTCTTGGGCGTTGTTTGTTTAGTAAGCTACTAATTACTGCCACAATTTCAGAACTTATTATTGGTCTATTCAGGGATTCAACTTTTTCCTGGCTTAATCTTGGGAGACTGTATGTATCCAGGAATTTATCCATTTATTCTAGATTTTCTAGTTTATTTGCATAGAGGTGTTTATAGTATTCTCTGATGATAGTTTGTATTTCTGTGGGATCAGTGGTGATCTCCCCTTTATCAGTTTTTATTGCGTCTGATTCTCCTATCTCTTCTTTATTGTCTGGCTAGCGGTAGCGGTATATATTGTGGATCTTTTCAAAAAACCAGTTCCTGGACTTACTGATTTTTGTAGGGTTTTTTGTGTCTCTCTTTCCTTTAGTTCTGTTCTGGTCTTAGTTATTTCTTTTTTTTTTTTTTTTTTTTTTTTTTTTTTGAGACGGAGTTTCGCTCTTGTTACCCAGGCTGGAGTGCAATGGCGCGATCTCGGCTCACTGCAACCTCCGCCTCCTGGGTTCAGGCAATTCTCCTGCCTCAGCCTCCTGAGTAGCTGGGATTACAGGCACGCGCCACCATGCCCAGCTAATTTTTTGTATCTTTAGTAGAGACGCGGTTTCACCATGTTGACCAGGATGGTCTCGATATCTTGACCTCGTGATCCACCCGCCTCGGCCTCCCAAAGTGCTGGGACTACAGGCGTGGGCCACCGCGCCCGGCCTGGTCTTAGTTATTTCTTGTCTTCTGCTAGCTTTTGAATTTGTTTGCTCTTGCTTCTCTAGTTCTTTTAATTGTGATGTTAGGGTGTTGATTTTAGATCTTTCTTGCTTTCTCCTGTGGATATTTACTGCTATAAATTTCCCTCTAAACACTGCTCTATCTGTGTTCCAGAGGTTCTGTTACCTTGTGTCTTTGTTCTCATGGTTTCAAAGAACTTATTTATTTCTGCCTTAATTTCGTTATTTATTCAGTAGTCATTCAGGAGCAGGTTGTTGAGTTTCCATGTAGTTGTGTGGTTTTGAGTGAGGTTCTTAATCCTGAGTTCTAATTTGATTGCAGCTGCCTGTTTTTATATGGTCTTTGAATTAAGAGTAGTTTTGTTTTTTTCCATTTTTAATGGCTGAAAAATTGTAAATGATTAAAAAATATATTTTATAATGCAAAAATTATGAGATTTACATTTTTGAGTCTATATTGGTTATTCACAACAAGTAACTATCCCCAAGGACAAATCACCCAATTTTTAAACCAAAAAATCAAACACAGTGATTTGCTTCCAATATGTAGAACCCAGATGTCTGGGCAGATTTCAGAGTCTTCATGAGAGATCTGAGAATTCATCCACACATCAAGAAACAATGAATAAATATGTCCTACAATTATGCATGAATCAAGTATAAGTGCTGTGGTGATTTATAAAAGAAGCTCACTTGAGGGTTTTACCTTTTTTTGTCTGTGCTTCTTTTTTTCAATCTGCCATTTCTATCAACTGTAATGGGAGTCACCACCCTCCTGGATGGCCTCCCACCACAGTGACTGGGCATCACGGCTGTGGCATTTAATCTCATTATGGAACAAATGTTTGCCATTGGTGCATGCCAAATCCAGAGCATCTGAACACTTGATTCAGAGCCCCTCCATTTCCACAGTCTTTCCAATAGAATTATCTAGCTTTGTCTGCGTATAGTCACAAGAAATGAGTATGGTGAGAATTTATTTTGAGTCCCATCCAGTTTATTCTAGAAACATTATATTTTGAGTCAACTATGAAGTGGTTACTTGCTAACAGAAGCTTTCTATTTGCTAACAATGAATGGCTGCCTCGAGTTGCAGTGAGCTCCAAGTCACTGGAAATTTTATTTATTAATTTACTTATTTTTATGGCTGGATACAACCATTTATCACAGTCCCTACAGATGGGATTTCTACCCTGGGTGGCAGATTACCTCTAAATTCTGATAACCTTTAAGGTCCCTTCTGATTGAAAATTTATTGTTCTAAGATAAGGCCCAGGAGCATTTTTCTGAGACTGCCCCAGAAAAACATTTAATAACTCCAGGCACACAATGACTCTTGTTCATCATTTACCTGTTACTGCCGCCTGCCTCTCTGGCTTTCCATTAAGTTTGCAAAGAGTAGAAGATCTGGCTTGTGGGCTGCAATTTAATATGTGTGCAAAAGTGATATCAGAATCCTGCCATTAAGAGGGCTGTCCTCCAAGGAACAGGGCATGCTTTATTAGTTCCTCATCAATTAAGCAAGGGAAACCTCCAGGCTTCAAAACGAACTAGTCTCAGTGTCGACAGAGATGATTTTGTCTACAAGAGCAGAAATCCACTGGGAACAGTGAATGCCTCTGTTCCACATGGGGGAAGGGTGGGGGTCTTATCCGCCCTAAGCAGCTATTTTCAGTGACAGAAAAATCCCCTCCCAATGGAGGGCGTGACAAATGAGGTGACTGGGGCTTCCTCAAACTCCACATTGTCCTGCTCCAAGATTCTGGTACATGACACTCTGTAGGAACACACATGGGGCATCCCATACAAAGGAACATGCTTTTCCTTTTGAGAATGTTTTTTCTTAAAAAAATGTCATGGGCTGGGCATGGTGGCTCACTCCTGTAAATCCCAGCACTTTGGGAGGCGGAGGCAAGTGGATCACCTAAGGTCAGGAGTTTGAGATCAGCCTAGCCAACACAGTAAAATCCCATCTCTACTAAAAATACAAAAATTAGCCAGGTGTGGTGGTGGGGACCTGTAATCTCAGCTACTCGGGGGGCTGAAGCAGGAGAATCGCTTGAACCCGGGAGGCAGATGTTGCTATGAGCCAAGATCATGCCACTGCACTCCAGCCTGGGTGACAGAGCAAGATTCCATCTTAAAAAAAAAAAAAAAAAAGTCATGGTTAGTAGTGACGTCTATTATCTCAACATAATCAGTGCAGAAAGAGTTGAGAATTCCAAGGTATACCAGGTGTGGCATACAGGGATGGAGGAGGATGATGGCTATCAGATGTTACTATGGGACATAGTGAGAGGCGAGGACTGTAAAGAGGTAATGCTAGAAAATTAGGCTGATGCCTGGTCATGGAAGCCCTTGTGTGCCAGATCAGATGCTCCTGCAGGTGTTAGAGAGCCAGAAAAGGATTATGTAAAGGGAAGTGATGTAGATGCAGCTCTGTCCCCCACATACTGCAGAACAGATTTGGATGTTCCACAGGCTTCTGAAGCCCAGGAAAGAAGCTTTAATTAGAGATACTAGTTTGGGCATCATTAGGGTGTAAATAGATGATAAAGTTTGAATGTTTGTCTCCTCCAAATCTCATGTTGAAATGTGATCCCCAGTGTTGGAGATGTGGCCTACTGGGGGGTGTTTGGGTCATGGGTGCGAATCCCTCATGCATGGCTTAGAGACATCCTTGAGATAATGAGTGGTCTCTCGCTCTGTGAGTCCCCGTGAGAACTCACTGTAGGGCGGGAACCTGGCACCTATTCTTCCTGTTCCGCTCTCTCGCTCTCTTTCCTACCATGTGCCATGCCTGCTCCCCCTTCTCCTTCTGCCAAGATTAGAAGCTTTTTGAAGCCTCACCAGAAGCAGATGCTGGTGCCATGCTTCTTGCACAGATTACAGAAGCATGACAGATCAACTTCTTTTATTATTTTTTAAAATGTATCTAGTTTTGAGACAGAGTCTCACTGTATTGCCAAGGCTGGAATGTTGGAGTGTAGTGGTGGGATCACAGCTCAATTCAACTTCTGCCTCCCAGACTCAAGCGATCCTTCTGCCTCAGCCTCCTGAGTAGCTGGGATTACCGGTGTGCACTATCATGCCTGGGCTATTTTTATTTTTATGGAGATGAGCTTTCACTATATTGTCCACATATTGCCTTTTTATAAATGCCTGGCTATTTTTATTTTTGCAGAGACAAGCTTTCACTATGTTGTCCATATACTGCCTGTTTTCTTTATAAATTGCCCAGCCTCGGTATTTCTTTACAGCCATGCAAAATGAATTAAGGTAGTAGGTGAGCAGATCTTGGAAAGTATGAAACCACCCAAAGGAATAGAAAATAAGACGAGTATGGAGAAAACCAGAATCCTGTGAGTGAGATCAGAAAGCAACACATGAATCCATACAAGAGCGACCGGGAGAGTCAGGAGAGCAAGGGGACCCAGAGAGAGACACCGCCAGAGCACCACAGAGTGCCACCTTCTTCCATCCAAGCACCTCTTCCCATCTGGGAGATGGAGAAGGAGGTACTTACATGCAGGCAAACCTGAATCAAGGGTGACCTCTCCTTGGATATCAGTTTTATTCTTGGAACTAAAGAAAACACGCATATGGAGAGAGGGGATGCTGAAGTGGACATGGCCCTGGTCTTGGTGCCAGAAGATTGCGTTCTGATCTCTGTTCTGTGTGACCTTGGGAAGGGCACTTTACCCCTCGAAGCCTTTATTGTCTCATCTGGAAATTAAGGATGTTGTTTGGTATGTTCTCTGCTCTCAACTCAAACAAAAGCCATTTCTATTAGGAGATGAAATTGACCATGGTCTCTCCAGCCAAGTTGAACCAATAATCACCATCCTTCCCAATGCCAGAAGTGTATTTAATTTAATGCAAGTGGCAAGCAATTTCAAAAAACACTGCGTTTCCTTTTCTACCTTAAACCTGCCATAATGTACAGGCCCCAGGTCACATCTGGCTGTAATATAAAAATTATAAGCTCTGTTCCTTCTGATCAACAGGAGGAACATTCCTCTTGGACTACTCTAAAAGTCGTCACAAAACACTCTTAAAAGTCTTGAATGAATCATTACATTCAAGCTTCCACAAGCTCATTTTTGGAAATGCAGTATTTCAGAGCTCAAATAGAATGGTTTACAAGCACCGTAAGTTGGGACTTGTTGACATCACAAGGGAAAAGATGAAACACATTTGCCCATCCTCTGCCAGGAGAGTTG